AGTGGCAGCTCCCCTGACCTCAGCCCTGGCAGAGGCCAATGGGCAGAGTATGAGCCAGAGGCTGCGTGGGCTCCTGCTGGGCTGCCAGCCAGCTCTCTGCTTCCCAGAGCAGCCTCTGACAGGGCTGCCCCTGGGAGAGTGACAGCAGCAGCTGTGACAGTTGTGGCGTGGGGGAGGGGCAGGAGACAGCCTTTCTCACACCTCATCTCTGTCTAGCGACCAACAACAGGTGCTGGAGGCGGTGATGATCAATGGTGATGATCAATAGAACCTTTAAGAAAAAAAATTCCAGGGGCTGGAGTGACAGCAGAGCAGGTAGGGCATTTGCCTTGCACGAGCCTGACCCGGGTTTGATTTCCAGCATCCCATATGGTCTCCGAAGCACCGCCGGGGTAATTCCTGAGTGCATGAGCTAGGAGTAACCCCTGTGCATCAAAATAAATAAATAAATAAATAAAAAGGGAGGATTCCCAGGAACTGCCTATCTGGGCTAGCAGGGGCTGATGACCTGGTCACTCTGAGCTTCCAGGCGCATTGGAGGAGGGCACTCTGGGGTCCCCTGGAGTGAAACGCTTGCTGGAGGCAGCTTGGGGGCTGTCCAAAGATCCCTCCCGGAAAGCAGACTTGGGTGCGTTGCTTCCATGTCCAGGGCCCCAAAGCATGCACAATGTGGGGGCCATCCGCCTGCATGGCCAGTACAGGCCCCCTCACAGCCCAGGAGGAGTAGACCCTGCCAGGTCCACCATAAGCCAGGCCCGCTCCCTCAGTCTTCTCTTCCTGGGAGCCCAAAAGGACGCGGCAACTTGGGAAAACTGGGGGTCACTCTGAACGAACAGAGTTCAGGGAAGCTCCCTCCTGTGCGCCCCCCTCCCCGCCCCAGGTCCTCTGCTCCCGCCAAGTGACAGTCACAGGAAAAGTGAGAAGACATTTATTGAATCATCTACAGCGACTTGACATCCTTACAATCCCGGACGAGGTGAGCGGAGGAGAGGGCAGCAGCGGGCACAAGGCGGCAGGCGTTTGTCTTTATCACGGGACGTGGAGCCCAGACAGGCTCAACACCCCCAAAGTGGGCTGGCAGCCACGCCCGGGTGCCAGGAGCTGTGCCCCCTCGGCCCTCACAGGGCAAAGCCACAGGAGACAGACAGGAAGCTAGACACAGAGTCGAGCACAAACACGTGCCGGGACTTGAAGTTCAGGAGGAAGTGAAGGGCCGGCCACCCGGCCACACCAGGCTCAGGAAGGATTCCAGGGGGTGGGGGGGGGGGCACGGGGAGGTGGGAGGAGGTCAGTGCTGGCCCTTCTCTCCCATGCCGCCCCTTCCGGGGAGCCCTCCCCGCCCCCCAATCTCAAGGACACGCGGTAGCAGCTGCCAGAGCTAAGCAAGGAATTGTGTGTCCATCAGGCCCCCCCAGCCTCATCCTTGCCCAGTGCTGGTGGTTGGTCAAGTGGGGCAGAGGCGAAGCCAGGAGGGGTCAAAGCTGGAGACAGGCAGCGCAGGGTCCCCTGTGGGGGTCTTCGCCCCGGGAGCCAGCCCATGGCTGTTTCCAGAGAAGAGTCACATATACAAGGCATCCTTCTACAGCTCCTCCCTGCCATGCCTCAGATAGGAGGGAGGGCCCGGACCCCAGAGTCGGGGTGACACCCGGCTGGGGCACAGGCGTCCCCATGCCATGCAACCCCCTGCTTCCCCGCCACCCAGAGCCCCCTCCCCCATGGGACGCAAGGATCCTGCCACTCTGAGTCAGTGACTGAGCTCAGGGCAAGCTGGACCCAAGCCATCCCCCCAGATGCAGTGTGTCCCTACAAAGGCCGGACCAGGGTCCACTCACGGCTCACAAGCAGGCCCAGGCCTGTGCTGGTTCATTTCCATGCCCGGGTTTGAAAAGTTCATTTGAGCCCGACGTGGGCTGGGTGCTCTCCTCGTCCACCTCTTCACTCATCAGCCCAGTGGATGCTTTGGAGATGCTGTGCAACTCCCCAGGGAACCCCAGAGCAGGGCCAGACAGAGCCAAGGGCAGTATAGGGAGAGCCCAGCGGTCAGCTCACACCGCCCTGTGAGGTCTGCGGAAGGCCATGGGGTACAGGGGGAGGGGGTACATGGAACAACGAAGCCCTTTCCAGTCTTCCTCTGGGAAAGGCAGGGCCGAGGGGCAGGGCAGCACTCGGGGTGGAGGTCTGGACACCCAAGAGGCTTCGAGAGGTGCGGCAGGTAGCGAAGGGATCGCCGTGCCCCCCTGCACGGGACCTGCGCAGACACAGAAACACAACCACCTCGGCAGAAGGGGGCACCCTTGAGGACGCCCCCCGAGCTGACGACCCTGAGCCTCCACCCCACAGCCTGAGCTCTCTCTCACAGGCTTCCTGGAGCCTCAGCTCCCATGAGTGCTGCTGCCCCGCAGGACCGGGGACCCTCTCCTGTTGCTTCCTGGTCTGTAGTGGGGCCAGTCCCCAGGGCCGGGAGGCTGCATATTCTCAGGGCCCTCTCGGGTGAGTCAGATTGCCTTGCTGGTGGTGACTGTCTAGACCAGTGTCCTCAGCTGGGTCACGGGCCCCAGGTTACTCCAAGGGGACCACGGATGGACATCGCATGAACAGGACGGCACAGTATGAGACTCAAGGCAGCAGGTAGGGGGCTGGGGCACAGGAAGGACACAGGCAGGAAGAGGCCATGGGGAGGAGAGTTCAGGCAAGGCTGTGTTTTAGAGAGAGCCAGTCATGGGATCCTGCTCCTCACTGCCCACCTGCAGCAGGCGAGGGGCATCCCCCGTGCTGGCCATGCACAGTCCCAAGAACAGCTGGTACTTGCTAGAGTTCCCGGGTACCAGGGTACCCCAGCTCCCCACGGGCTGCTGCCCACTTTGTAGATGTGAAAGCAAGGGGACATTTGCCTCTGATTTCGTTTGGGGGATGGAGTGTGGGCCACACCCACTGTGCTCTGGGCTTACTCCTGGCCCTCACTCACTAGGGTGCTGAGGAAGGAATCTAGGCCTTGCAAAACAAGCACCTTGCGGGGAGAGGCGTTCACCCTGACCTCATGCTCTCCCCCACTGCCCGGGACTGTGGACATCCTGCTGAAATATTCAGGAGACACGGGGGCCCCGGCTCACAAGACACCAGCACCGCATGCAGAGGGGACCCCCAGTGGGACCCTCCACCAGCAGTTTTGCAGTTTGGCGATGGCATGTAGACAGCCTCCTCCCTAGAGGCAGGCAGGAATGAAGTCACACTCAGGACCAATCCTGGGAGCTTCCAGGGAGTGCAGCTCACCCAGGGTCACACCCTAAGCCCCTGGACATCTGTCCACCACCCACCCTTCTCTCCAGGCCCCAGACTCCATTGCCACATTCAACGCAACTCCTCCCTCCAGACAGACAAGGACACATGTGACAGTGACACACGAGCTGAGCCTCCCTGCGTCCCAACTGCAGAAGACAGGCATGCAGAGCATAGAGGACTTTTGGAGTCAGCCCACCACAGGCGACTGAGGCCCCAGAGACTCTCTCTGCCCAGTCTTAGCAATTCCAGCCCACTATCAGGTTCTGCTTCTCTCAAGTCTACTTCGAGGCTCTTTCTTAGAAAGCAGCCCGGGCTCTCCCAGGGGGTCCAAAGTGCCAGGTGTCCTTGGGTGAGGGAACACACAGGGTTCCCTGAGCAGGCAGGAGGGGGCTAGGGGTGGAAGAGAAGAGCGGCCGTGCAACTGCAGGGAACAGCAGGCCCAGGACGCAAGAGCCAGGACTGTCAGTGCGTCTCCTGCCTAGGACTCGGAGCCTGAGTTGGAATCCAGGCACTGGGCCCTTCTCCAGCCATGCAGAGGCCTCTCCAGATGCATTTCTCCCAAACACTCCAGGCCCTCCTCCTTACAGAACCCAGCTGAGCATACACCTGCCACCACCCAGTTCCCCAAGCCTTCCAGAACGTGCTCATGGAACAAGTCTGCAAACGCACAAGGATGGAAGGACCAAGGAACCCAGGGACGGAGAGAATGGGGTTCCTTCCACCTGTAGCCTTGGCTCTCGCAAGCTCCACCCCCTGGCTCGGCCCCACACACTCCCTTGACCACGCCCCTCCCCGCTCGGCCCCGCCCTCTCCTCGCCCACCCCTTCCTGAAGTGGCTCTGGGAAGTCAGGACCAGGCCAGGATGACCAGCTGCTCCTCCTCCATCAGCAATTTCTGCTAACAGACAGGGTGGACGTGGTGACCCTCCTCATTGGCGAGGCCACCTGGCACCCTGGGGAAAAGCACACAGAAGTGGGGGTCTCTGCAGACTTGCACTCTGCCTGGGGAGGGGGTGCCCTGGGTTGGGATGCACGGACCGTGGGTGGGGGGGTCACACTGGCATGGCACAGGTTCATCCCAGTCATGGCTTTCACTTAAAGGGGAGGGGTGGGGGCGATTCGCAGCTCCCGGCAAGGTTGGCGGTGGGGTGGGGGGGGGGCGCAGCGGCTGAAGGAAGGGGCGAGTGGGTAGGGGACCCACCGTGCTCAACGGCGAGTCACGCGACGCTGCAGTTCCTCCCCTGCCCTCCAGTCCCGGCCACTCTCCCGGCTCCCGGCACGTCTTCGTGGGCCCGGTCAGAAGCACCAGGACTGCCCTTTGATGGCAACTCCACATCCAAAGTCCAGACCCAGTCTCTGATCAAAGAGGACCTGCAGCTGTGCCTCCGCCCAGGGTGAGGTCTGCGCTGGCCAGCGTGGGGGGACGCTCCAGCTGACCACAGGGCCGCGTGGGGTCGGACACCGGGGGGGACTGTCCAGCAAGCTGCACCCAGCTTCCGGCCAGGGCTAAGTGACGGCGGCTGGTGGACACAGGAAGGCAAGCCGGACCTTGGGCGAGCAGGAGCACAGGCGCAGGAGAGGGCGGCTCCGGGGCCGGACCGGAGCGTTATTTACACGTGGAGGTCGGCCGGACAGCCGGGGTGGGGGGCAGCCGCACAGCGAGAGCCACGCCCGCTAACACCCCTGCTTCCCCGCCCATCTCCCGCCCGGGGAGCCTCGCCGCTGTCCAGTGCCCGCCGGGGCGCGGGGGACAGCGGGACATGCAGGGCCCCCCCCAACCGCTGCAGCCCGCCCCGGGTCGGAGGGGGTGCTCAAGTGGCCAGGTTGTCGGCCGGGAGGCCGGACATGCGGATCTGGGAGCTGCTCTTGCTCAGGATGGAGAGCTGGGTGCCCCCGTTCGCCCCGCTGCTGGCCAGGGACGGATGCCGGTGCTTGAAGTCCACAGCGAAGTAGCGGTTCACCTTCCAGCTGCGCCACTTGCGCTTGATCTCTGCCTGCACCTGCCAGGGGGGTGATGGGGCGTCACTGCACAGGCTGTGCCTCCTGATGGCCCCCCACCCCTGTGGCCACCGCCCCGCGGCCACCCCTGCAGCATCCCCCACTATCTCGGCCACCCCTGAAGCTGCCCCACCCCCACTGGCCACGCCCATACCCGCCTCTGCAGGCCATCCCCCACCCCCAGCCCTGTTGACCCCCCCCACCACACACCCACACATGTCCCCCCCAATCCAGCGCCCCCCATCCCACCAGCAAAACCCCCTGCTCACCACCCCTGCAGCCACCCTGAAGCCCTACCTGACTTTCAGCTCCTGCAGCTGCACCCCTGCTGCTGCCCCAGGTGAATGCCCCCCACCTCCAGCTGCTGTGACTGGCTGCCGCCAAGGCTACTTGGGGCCCCACCAGTACCGTCTCTCCAGTGCAGCTTGCACCCCCCAGGGATAGGGAAGCATGACCCAGGAGCTTCCCTTAACCCTTCTCCAGGGCACAACACGATGCCCCTCACTCATGGCCAGGGTCTGTGGATCTCAGGGCATCCCACACCTGAGACTTCTGGATCTTGCAGGGAATCTTTCCACAATGGACGGAGGTGGCGGGGCGTGGGGGGGCTCTAACTGTTAACTCAGAGGGACCTGAAGACCTTTACAAACTCCAAGTACCCAGTCACTCCCCCAAGACTGTGAGTCAGCATCTCTGTGTTGGCATCTGCCTGACCATACATGTCCTGGAATCCAGCCCACTGTGGAGTCAGGCTGAGAACCCCTGGGGAGCACAGCCCTCTGGGCAACCCCCTGCCCGGCCCCACACTACTCTCAGCAGGATGACCATGGACGAGCCTTGTCTCCGCCTGCACACAGCCCCTTTGTGTAGTGCACAGACTGTGCAACTGGACGGGCCCCCACACTGACCCTCCAGTTCTAGTGACCACTCAGGCTGCAGGCCCTTGACAAACTCCTACTTCAGGCTCCCCCTACCACACCTGCAAAGCTCTCTCTTTCTTCCCTACTCTGAGCCCACCCATGCTAAGGTGTCTTGATGGTCACATCCTTGGGTTCCTCACAAATGGGGGGAGGGGCTTGTGGAGGTCACTAAGACCAATATCCTGGGGTTTCCTGCCACCCTTCGTCCTGTCCCCATCCAAGCACTTCTCTTCCAGACTCTGCTCAAAAGCCTCCTACCAGGCTAGAGCGAGAGGCCCCAAGACCATCAGTCTGGAAAGGAGCGTTCTGGAAAGTTCCAGGCCTTTCCTGGCATCTCTCTCAGGCTGCACAGTCCCTGCTCTATAGGGCGGTGGTCCCAAGGTGGGCAGTCTATCCCCTGGATTGCTGGAATCTTCCAGGGGAGGCTGTAGGGACCTACAGTACAATTGAGGGGTGCCCTCAGTTAGCTTACAGATGCTTAATTTCCAGGGGAGAACTGAGGAAAAAATATATATTAAAAGTTCTTTATGAAAAGAATAGGCAAATAAGCCTGAGAGCCTCTGTTCCAGGAGATGGTCAGTCCAGGCAGATCCTGGACAGCTGAGCTCAACCCTCTGCCCATCCCGGCCTGTGCCTGAGTCTTGTCCATCCATCCATCTGTCTGTCCTCACCGTCAGTTCTTCCTCACTGTGTGGGGCATCTGAGAGGTCCCCAGTAGGGTCTGGCTGGGCGGCTCTGCCCTTTGGAAGACTCTGCCCAGAGGCTGGGGCTCACGGCAGGCAGCATCCTGCCCCTGCTTGACTTTGGAGCCCCTGAAGAACTGGGGTAGCTGCGGACAGCCTGACTGCCCCCCCCCCAAACAGCTCCACACGCCGCTATGAACGAACGCCAAGGGTCTTACCTCCCCGTTGAGAAAGCAGTAGAGAATAGCCACCACGAAGCCCTAAAGGGAGAGCAAATGTGACGACTATGAAGGCCAGAGCGTCGGGTGGGGGGAGGGGGACACGGGAATACCAGAGGACGGGACCGGCGACCACCCACCTGGCCAGAACATGAGCAAGACAAGTCCTGGCCCCTCACAGTGGTCACCCCAAAGCTGGTGGCAGTGTCCCCTCCCAAAGACACACTCCAACTGGGGTGCCCCCTCCCCCTCCATGCACACAGCCTCCATTCCCAGCAGCAATTTTCTGCAAGCCCTTCCCGAAGACCCCAGAGTGTTCTCTGAACTGCCCGTCACCTCCAGGCCCCGAGGCCAGGGCCACATCCTCCAGGCAGGATCTATATCTTCCTCCCCACCGCCTCCCACTCTGGCCTCCATGGGCCTTTCCCGTGTCTAGCACATGCAAACACCACGTGTGGGAGTGCTGTGGCTGGATCAGATGCTGAACCACTCATCCAGTCCCTTTCCTCCCTCTCCTGCAGAGGCTGCAGCCGCAGCTGTGCTCCCCGGGCTAAGGCCCAACAGTGGGGAAGAGGCCAAGAACTGGGGCAGGCCAGATGGAAGCCAGGTACTCACAGCGACTCTGGTCCCCAGGCCAAACTCTTGCCGCACTGGCTGGGTCTGGGTGCATTTGAGGGGAGCTCTGTCTTCACCCCACCCTACTCTAACCTGCCTGTCTCCTCACTGCCCACGCCTCCCTGCATCCACCACGTCCTCCTTCACTCACCTCCCCAAGCTGTCTGCTGCTTCCTCACTGTGGTCCCTGGATGATGTGCTCACCCCACCACCTTCTCTGCCAATCTTCCTGCACACCCCTCTTGTGCAGTGACACCCCCCCAACTCTCTGTACTGGGTGGGGACCACATTTCAGGCTCAACCGTGGGTGCGTGTTGAGTTGGCTGGAGGCAAGCTGTGGACACAGAGGCCACCTGAGCCCACTTCTAGCTGAGGTGATGGTGGAGCGTGCTGGGCTCAGGGAGTCCTTCCACAAAGCCCTGAGGAGGGGCAGCTTCTAAGAAGGGGCCCTTCTACGCTAGAATCCCCGTCTCAGAGCAGGGAGCACGGAAGGCCTGGATGACGGAAGGTTCTAGACCCACCAGCAGGTTCCCGACCAGGTCGCTGGGCCAGAGCCTCACCCACCTGGAAGGATCCCAGCCCCAGCTCGAACACGAGTCTCTCCCTCTTGCTGACGCTCTCTGGGGAGAAGGCGAACACGGAGTAGTGGATGCCGAAGAGCGGGATGAGCAGCAGCGTGGAGCGGGCCAGCCGTCTGTGGGGCAGAGTGGGGTGCTCGGGGCTGCTCGGGGCAGAGGCCCCCTCGGAGCGGGCGCCCAGCACTGATGCAGAACCCCGAGGTTCTCGGCCCCCCCGGCCCAGCCTGGGTCAGCCTTCTTTAGAGCCAAGTGTCCTGAGAAGCCACGCAAGGACAGGGTGGAAGTTCTCTGGAGGTCGCTAACCCCTTGGTGGGGGGGGGGGGTTCCGGGGACGAGATGCTTGGAGAGTCAGGACCACAGGTGGCCGGAGGTGTGGGGCACCGACAACAGGCAGGTAGGGGTGGGGCAGGCGGAGGCCCCACAGAGGGAGACCACTGCAAGGGTTCCACGGAAGAACTGCCCACCTCTGGGTGTGTGGGACCAGCCCTGAGCAGATGTGACTGCTGGACTAGCCGGGGAAGAGGAGGGTCGGGGCTCCTGGGACGGGGGGCACGGCGGCGGGAGTGGGCCGAGCATCAGCACTCGTGGGCACTGTGGAGGGGAGGGGTCTGCCCAGTGTGCGCCCACAGCACACTAGCCAACCTCACAAAAAGCCGGAGGCGCTGAGGGGTAGAGAGGAGTTTGAGCTCTTCCCCTCCCCCCCCCCACCCGCAGAGCCCAGCGTGGCACCCTGTGGAGGTGACAGGCAGGGTGGGACAGGTGCAGCACCCACTGCCACCTCCCTGCCCAGAGCACAGGGCAGGGGCTCGGCAAGCCTACTCTACCAAGCCTCTGTCCCAGAAGAGAGACCGGAGGCTTCAGTATCTCCACGCTCCTCCCCTATGCTCAGGCAGTGCCTTCTGCGGGACCTGGGCCACCGGGGTTAGTGCAGGGGCCGAGACAGTCTGGGTGATCCCTTCTTTCAGTCCAGATGCAGCCCAGGGGTGGTCCAGTCCCTCATCCCATCCCTGCTCTGCCTACGGCCTTCTCTCAGCTCGAGGCTTCCTGGCTGGGAACATCCTGGGGTCAGCATTCATATCCGGGACTCGGGGGGTATGGAATGGCTGCATGGGGGTCAAAGGGCGTGACCATCTTGGGATGCCCAGAGCCTGGCTCGAGGAGGCAGTGGGCAGTTTGAAGAATGCAAGTCCAAAATAGCAGAGGACAGTGGCCAAGGGTGAGGCCATCTCTGGCCCCGCTGCTCACCAAGAAGGGCTCTATAAAGCACCAGCTCTGTGTAACAGGTAGGGGCTGGACTGGATGGGCCCCCACCCTGACCCTCCAGTTCTAGTTACCAGCTCTGTGTAACGGGCGGGGGTCGGGCCTGTGACCCCCGCCTGCCTCCTTGCCCACAGATGCATCTGTCTCCGGGGGCTCTTACTCAGATTGCCAAGTGTCCTGAGAAGCCAAGGGCCCAGCATCAGGGGCCCGGAGGGAGGGGTCAGGCGTGAACAAAGGCCCTGTCCAGCTCCGGATGGCGTGGCGAGTGGCAGCCAGGTGTCCCACAGTGACATCCAAAGACGGTGCCTCCCTCCCTGGGAACCCAGAGGCTACAGCAGGTGCTAAATAGCCTGAACAGTCCAGTCAGAGCAGGCCAGCATCTAACCTGCTCCACAGAGCCGTCCAAAGGCCTCAGGGCAGGCCCGGGACCCCTCTTGATCTTTTAAGGCAGTACGGCAGAGACACGGGTCTGCCCGAGCCCCCGTCCTCCCTCCCAAGGAAGCATCAATGAGCACACGAATCCTGTGAGAAACTCTAGAAGCTTCCAGTGTCCAGAACTACCCAAATGACCATGGACACTCCACTACGAGGAGGCCACCCTGGTCCAGCCAGAGTCCCTGGGCCCCTGTCCGCGCCTGCGACTGCACGGCCCGAGTGTGTGCTTCTGCCTTCCCGTCCATGACCCGCCTCACGGGCTGTCATTCTGCAGCACATGAAGTGGAAATGGGGGTGTGAGGGCGGTCCCTGCCCGCAGCTCAGAGACGAGCTACACAGACACAACACAGAGAAGTTGGGGGGAACGATGGGGGACCCAGAGGCAACCACAGCAACGCCAGCTGAGGTGCCTCCTCCCCGACACGGCCCAGCTCACCCTGGGCCATGAGGCTGCACGGGAGAGGGAGTCACCAGACACAGACGTCCACATGCAACAGCCAGGGCTGGGTGGGTGGGTGGGTGGGTGGGCGGGCGGGCGGGCGGGCTCGGGGCTGGAGGCACAGCCCGTGGGGCGCAAGCACCAGGCAGCAGCGTCATGCGGCCCCCTCCCTCTGGGCTCCCGGCCACAGCCACGCCACGCACACTTACAGAGTAATGGTGGACAGTTCTGACATCTTGCAAGAGTGCTGCTGAGCCCGCTGTGGCTTGCAGTAGCATTTCTGCACGCAGCTGCTGGGTGTGACAAGATCAGCACTGACGTCAGCGGGGGGCCATCGGGCAATGAGGAAACCGGGGTGGGACTGAGAGCGACATGGGGGAGGGTCCCCCGGGCTCGCGGGGAGGGCAGGGGAAACGGGGTGTGTAGAGACAGGGCCGGGGTTGGGGCTGGCACGGAGGAGAACAGGAAGCCAGGGGCCAAGATGGGGTCAGCGCCTGACACAGACACCACCCCGCAGGAGTCCTGCGGACACACGTATGCTCAGCCCGGAGGGTGGCGTGGTGTGTGTCAGAGGGCCAGGCAGCCGCATGCAGGGTGCCCAGAAGCTGTGCCCAGGGTCAGCTCGAAGCTCAGTGTGTGGCCTTTGGGACACAGTCGCAGAGCACCCATGGAAGGGGGTGTCCAGGGGAACCCCGCCAGCCCTGCTTTCCATAGCCGAGGCCCAGAGTGGCCACCTCCGCAGAGACAGGCTTGGCCTGCCTTCCAGTCTCCGAGCACTTCAGGTGGGAACGAGTTGCACCCACACCCTTTTCTTCCCTGGCAGCCCCTCAGAGATGACTCAGAAGCCGTGTGTCATCTTCACAGTGGCTTCCTGCCCAAGTCCTCCGCAGACCACGGTGAGGCTGAGCTCCTGGTACCCTCAGGGGACTCAGCAAGCCACCAAGGGCCCCCAGGACAGACTGACAGCAGAAAGCTGCCCTCCAGCATTCACAGACCCACTGCTGCAGCTCCAGAAGGGAGAGGGGGGAATCGAGGGTCCGAGGCAGAGGCTGGCACCATCTCACAGAGGCAACAAGGTGAAGTCAGACTTCAAGAGGGGGAAGCCTCAACCCCTCCGTCAGCGTCGTGGTTCTCCTTTAAGGAAAGATGTCTTTCAACTCACACCAGGTGGTGAAGGGGGTGCTGTGCACCCATGCCCCAGGGAAAGGGTGTGAGATGTATCAACTGCGGTACCCAGTCTGTGGTACCCAGGCCAGGAGCCTCGGCACCATGAAAAGTCTCTTAGAGATGCAGGCGCACGGGTTACCCAGACCTGGAGGGCCAGCAACAGGATGCTACAGAGATCCCAGGATAATCCCTGTGTCATCAAGGGCTGCTCCAGTTCTGTGCTTGAGAGGGTCCTTACTCAGTGTTCTGTCTCATCTAGAGAGAAAGCAATGGACACGGAGAAATGCATCCTCATGAACTCAGCTTGGCCCGTGACGAACATCCTCTGTTGGAGAATGGAAGTCCTTCTCATCTTCATGTCTCTTTGCTATCTTGCCCAGGTTAGAAGGGTAGACGTGTTTCCCCCAATAAAAATACTCTGGCAAGCTTTTTGCAAGCCGCCCAGAGTGGTCTTGCAATACGTGTCTCAGTGGAGGTGGAACTGCAGCCAGTGGATCCCGTGGGCCTCAGCAGACACTACCAGCAGCTAAAGAACATGGACTGGAGCGATAGCACAGCGGGGAGGGCATTTGCATTGCGTGCAGCTGACCTGGGTTCAATCCCCAGCATCCCCTAGGGTCCTCTGAGCACCACACAAAAAAAAAATAATAATTCATGGGTGCTGAGCCAGAAGTAACCCCTAAGCATCACCGGCTGTGACCCCAAAACAAAACAAAACAAACAAAAAGAACCCAGACTTCCTAGCTTTAGGGGTAGCTCCAGAAACAAACTTGGAATCCTCAAAACCTATCTGACAGCACCGAGGCAGCATTTCCCCGAGGCAGTCACCCCCTCCTCACTATAGGAAACCCCTCCTCTCCTTGACCTCACCACCAATTCCTGGCAGAGCAGAGAACCAGCCAGACTGTCCCATTTACACTAGAATTTACAGCCAATTATGCAAACTCACCAGGCAGACCTTGTTAAATTTGGTCTTTTTCCATTTGCTTGTCCAACCTTTGAAGAACCCCAGGTGTGTGGAAATGGCCTTCTGAGCCCTTACAAAGCTTAGCTGACCTCTCTCCTAGGCCTGACCCCAGACCCTGAGCAAGAAGCAGAAATCAGGAACCAGGAGGCCCATCCCGAACTGCAAATGTCATCTCTCTGTGAGGCTAAAACCCCCAGCCCTGATCTAGAGCTGCAGCTCTTCTCTAGACTGTGCTTCCTGGAGCCCACAAACTGCTGCAGGCAGGGGGCTGGAGTGATGGCACAGAGGGGAGGGCGCTTTCCTTGCATGCAGTCAACCCAGGTTCGATCCCCAAAGCACCGCCAGGTGTAATTCCTGACTACAGAGACAGAAGTAACTCCAGAGCACTGCTGCTGAGCATGGTTGGATGTGGCCCCAAAACAAAACAAAGAAACAGCAACAACAAAAACTGCTGTCGGCAGCCTTGAGCTTGCAAAGATGTCCCGACATAAGAATGTTTCACTGGAGGGTTGGGAGGGCTGGGTGGGGGGCAGAGAGGATGTCCTTTCTTCAGAGCCGGTGATGTGTCGAAATGCAAATTCCCCTAAGTCAATCAAGGCAGCCCCACCCGCCTTCCCTGCTGACCTGCGCTCCAACTGACCTTTCTCTCCAACTGCAGACAGTTAAATCACTGTTAAGGCCACTGTATTAAGTTCCTCTGACTCACGGGGAGTCTCCGCTCGAAGGTGGGCAAAGGCAAACCCGTTACAGTGAACTGTTTTCTTTGTCCTCTCAGCCTGCGAGTAATGACTGAGAAACTCCACCTCACCCCTCGCCTGGGTCCTTCAAAGCTCTCATTGCCCCCAACTTAGCCTCGCCTCCAGAGAGGCTGCAAGCATTGTCGGCTTCCTGTTAAACCAGGTCCAGCGACGAATAAAGGGAGCAGAGCAAACCCCAGGGCTCCTGAAAAGACTCTTGGGGCTAGTCGTGGATGTTGTTCAACCTCACAGCTTCACAAGGAACAAGCACCCTCCACAGGGATGCCCACGTGGCCTCAAGGCTCCCTGAACCCTGACCTCATGACCCATCCATTGTTTCCGACTTATGTTCCCCACCAAGCCCTAGCCTGAGAGTAAGACAGATTGGGGGAGACAAGAGGTCCACCAGCTTCTCAGCTTACTTGCAATCACCCGAATAAAAACAACTTTGCTTTTATTTTCTGCATCAACCCTGGCCTCTTGAGTCACTGGCCTTAAAGCAATGTCCACCATGAAGTGGGTTTGGTGAGAAATCTGAACCTGTCTGATGTGTGGATGATTATCTGCCAACCTAGACATCCCCGTGGGGTATTGGAAGAGTTTCCTCTCCACCTTCCTCTGTTCTTGCCTTCTCAGGTCCTGGAGAGTAAATCGACTTTTGTGACTTCTCCCAAGCATTCTAACAGTCATTTAGTGGGATGCTGGAGAGACACTGGGGGAAGTTTAGAGCTTAGAGAGCTGGTAGGACAAAGTTCTTCTCTTCTTCTAAACACTCCCCATCCCCAACCCCTTGCTAACTCTGAGCCGAAGAGCCTGGTGGAAGGAAACACGGAGGGTGGCAGGAGAGCTAGACCCGGGCATGAGAAACAGCAGCACCTGAGAGAAGCCAGGCAGCGCGGGGAGACCTCTGGGCAGCTCAAGGCGACTCGGGTCAAGAGAACACGAGACGCCCCTGGCGGCGGCAGCGACCCAGCACCCAGAGCCTCACCTGCAGCAGGAGTGGCTCAGCCTCAGGCCCTGCTGCCAATGCCTTGCCAATGCCGCAGGATGGGCAAAGCACTGCAGGTCTCTGCACCCCCGCCAGCTCAGGCAGCGGTTCCAGGTTCCTGAGATTTCTTCAGTCCCTGCCTGGCCTCAGGCCAAACCCTGGTCTCGCTTTGTACTTGCTGCCCGGGTCAGAGCCCCTGAAACTCAAGTCAGCCAGCAGGGGAGTCCCTGGGGAGTTCCCCACCCCACGCTGGGATCCTGGTGTTTGCAGGACACTGGGCTCACAGGGGCTCCGGTGGCAGGATGGTCTGAGCAGTGTTCACAAGGCTCCCTGACCCTGTGCACCCCAGCACCCAGCCCCATGCCCAGGGCACCCGCTTCAGCCCAGCGCTGTGGGGTTCGTGCCGTCCTCCTCCCTCACCCCCCACCCAGGGTAGCCCTGTGCTCAAGGCGTTCACTGGCCACTGATATGCTGGATTCTCATGGGCCATCACGGTCCTTCTCTGAGCTCAGTATCTGCATCTGAAAAGTGGAGGGAACCAGGCCATGCTGCCAATCCCTGGGCAGGAGGTGGGCTAGCCCTGGAAGGTGGAGATGAAGTGGAAGACAAGGGGCTGAACAGCTGGACAGAGGCTGCGCTGGGTTAGACTGTGACATCACCAGCTCGCCCTTTACCCTGCAGGACACTGGAGACCTGGATACAGATAGACTTCCTGACCGCCTGCCAGGTGCAACTCCCAGTGTTCAGCTGGCAGTGTGTGTGTGGGGGAGGGTGGGGGGGGGGGGGGGACAGGAGGGTCCTACTGGGAATGAATGAGGTCACTTCTGCAGAGTTGGGCTATGGGGTTCCCAGCAAATCAGAGTCAGTCATTTCTGAACCAACAGACCCTCAGGAAAAGGCTGGCTAGCCCTAACTGTAACCCAGCCCCTCCAAGTCGACCCCACAGGCTGATCCCAACCCAGCCAGCACTCTAGGTCTGACAATGGCCATGGTCATTGGCATGTGGCCTGTGGCTCATGGCGTGGTCCCTGACCCATGACCCATGGCTATGGTCCCTGACGCATGACCTGTGGCCGTGGTTCCTGACCTGTGACCCATGGCGGTGGTCCCAAACCCATGACCCATGGCCGTCCCTGACCAGCGACCCGCGGCCACGGTCCCTGACCTGTAACCCGTGACCCATAGTTGTGGTCGTGGACCCTGACCCATGGCCCATGGCCATGGTCCCTGACCCATGACCCATGGCGATGGCCATAGCTCTAGTCCCTGATCCATGACCCGTGGCTGTGGCCATAGTCCCTGACCCGTGGCCGTGGTTCCTGACCTGTGACCCATGGCCGTGGTCCCTAACCCATGACCCATGGCTGTCCCTGGCTCATGACCCATGGCTATGGCCATAGCCCTGGTCCCTGACCCATGACCCATGGCCATGGCCATGGTCCCTGACCCATGACCCATGGCCATGGCCATGGTCCCTGACCCATGACCCATGGCCATGGCCATGGTCCCTGACCCATGACCTGTGGCCATGATCCCTGGCCCATGGCCCGTGGCCCAGCCCAGCCACACACTCCACTAGCAGCATCCAGCGGGCAGTGTGGGGGGCTGGGTGCCACCGTCGCCTACACATCCTTTGAGGCTGGCTCGAGAGCACCGTTCTCGTCCACAGAGGACAGCCCTGGTGAGCGACCTACAGGAAAGGGAGTGAATGCTGCTCTGAGGGCACAGGCGGGGGCTCCTCTCGGGCTTTCTTGGGGGCTCCTGGGTTTAAGTTTGTTCTGGAAACAGAGGAAAAAACCAAAAGCTGTTGTGGGCAGATGCGCGGGGGCCTCTTGGTTAGCACATAACTTGGGGGCACTAAGGGCTTCAGACACTGTCCCAGAATCTTCCTCCCCACAATACCCTGGGATGTCTCCACCTCCCTCTTGTCCCCTGGACACCGCTGCTCAGGGCAGGCCACACAGGACTGGCGCCCCTGTTTATCATGACTTCATTTAGGGAGCAACACCTGCCAGTGCTGGGGGCTGCTTCCGACTCAGTGCTGAGGGCTGCTCCCAGCAGTGTTCAGAAGCAGTGCTGCTTCTGTTTGAAGAGCTCACGCTCAGCCCTGGAGGAGGCCCCGGGAAGCCTCATTCATGAGCTGGGGTGAGCTCTTCCTGTCCCCTGAGGTCCCTGAGGACAGACGGTGACCCGGCTTCCTTCCCACAGCCCAATCTACTCTGGCCACTGTGTCCCTCTGCTGTATTTACCATGCAGTGCCCAGCCTGCAAGGTCACCGTGCAGGCACTGTCCCGTCACTCTGACTACGGCTCCCAGCCCCTGGCACATGCCTTGGACCCAGGGGTCTCCTGACCCCAATACTCTGGAGAATTTAGTGCAGTCAAGCTGATTTCTTATCCTGCCCTGCTGCCCATATCCATCAGAGTTCTGATGCTGGAGGCTCAAAACTAGCAGAGCTTTCTCTCTAGTAAGGATTTACTGAGACTGCAAGGGGATGATGGTAAATGATTCTGATTCTGACTTGGTCCTGAGCTTGTGGGTAAGTGTGAAATCCATAGGCTAATGAGAAACTGTTCTTGTCTATGTGCAAACCATGTGCTGATTACCAGTGGTTCTTAACAATCACCAGGAAGGCCTGACAGGACACTACAGCATCCACCTGTCCAACCCCATGCTCCTCCCCACCGGCCCTAGAGTCTTGCCCAGCTGGGACCGAGTGCCTGAGCCAGTGACATGCACTCTGGGGCCAGAGGAGGGACCTAATTTAGCCTTTGAGTCCCCGTGTGTGCATCCCTCTGTGGGCGAAGCAGAAGGAAGCAGCAGGGCCCTAGAGAAAGGACCAGAGCCCCTCAGAGGAAACAGACCCTGCTCCCGAGAAGAGGCAAGTGAGGAGATGTAGGGGCTGAACGGAGCATGAGGCAGATGTAGCAATCCACAAACCGTAACCTCTGGGATCACGCTGAAAACGAACCCCACTCCAGCAAGAGAAACTAGGGCCCAGCCCAAGCTCCTGATCCCTCACGTGGGACAGGAAATGACGGGAACAGTCAGGTCCCGCTTGCTGGGTCCCTGGACCCAAGCAGGGGGACCTGCAGACAGCTCCTCGCAGAGTACCCCCCCCCATGCCACTGGCCCCACTGAGGTATGGGCACTTTATGACTCTTGAATGCAAAGTTTTGGGGGTACCTCTTTAAAAAGTAGGGGGTTGCTGAGAAATAAAAATGTAAAAATAGTAAAAGATAACTACCAGCTGGCAAAAAAAGAGAGAAGGTCTTTTCTGACATAGCAAACTGTTTGTTAAATAGAGAAATCGAAGTTGACCCAAGCCAGTTCCTGGGCCAATGTCCCAACCCCAGGCGGGGATCCCACAGGGCAGGTGTCCTGGCTGAGCAGAGGGCAAGTGCTGCTCCCAGGGGAAGTCCGGGGCCGCGGGAATGGGAGAAAGTTGCTTCCTGTTTTCCCACTCTCTGGGGGAAACAGCAGGCAGGGAGCACTCTGAGAAGGTTCTCTGCCTTCTCAATTGGGCACTGGGCAGCCATCAAGGTTCTGGACCACAGTGGGCTGGTCTCTGGGGAAGGACAGCCTAAGATCCCAAGGATGCTAAGAAAATAGCCCCACACCTTCTAGCTCATTCCTTTCTGAAGAAGCTGAGAACCACGGAAAGCCTATGGCATCTGTCTGGCCAGAGATGAGTCTACAGACTTGCAGGTTCTCTGTGCCCACTTGGGACTGACTTGCCCCGAGGGACTGACTTTCCTCTGCAGCAGCAGACAGCCACGCTCTGGTCTGCAGGGCAAGAACGGAGAGGTGGAAGGTGTCCAACATGGTTTCAGAAAGGGTGGATGCTGGAAAGAGAGCCAGCAGGGAGGGGAGGTGGAAAACAGGCCTGGGGAGCAACTTGTAGAGAGACACAGAAGTGGAGAAAACCCTCCATTCAACAGTGCGAGGCTGCCCTGGGCAAGTGACCCCAGGAGGCACAGCAAGCATTCCTCTGTGGGAGCAGAGAGCTGCAGGAGCAAGAGTACAGCCGTGCTCAGCAGGAGAGAAGGCATCCCCATCTCCCACATCCAGACTAGCCAGAATTAGTGGAAGGAGGAAGAGAGGAAGGAGGTGGCAGGCCAAGCCGTGCCCCAAGTGTATTCAGGAACTTTCTTCCACAATCCCCAAAGGGGATCCCCAAAGGAAATGCAGCTTCTGTTCACCTGAGACCCTGACTACCTAGGGCATCTGGTGCTGTCCAAATCCTGTTATTCCTCAGATGATAGGGATGCCCCTAAGGTGGCTGAAGGATGGGAGGGCAACTATGTTGGAAAAGAATTTTAATCGGAAAAAAATGTGTCTTGCAAATGTTCCTGCTAGGGAACCCCATCAGCAAGCCCAGACCTTCTCCTCCTGAGAGCCAATGGAGGGTGGGGGAGGGGGCACAGAGCTGTGGAAGGGGCCCACAGCATGTGTTCACCCAAGGGTACTTACAAGTAGATGCTGGACTCGTTTCCTCCCATGTCCGGAGACTGAAGTTTCTGCACCAGGATGACAATGATGCCAATGAAGAGCACAAAGTTAACCTAAGAGAGAACACAGACAAGGCAGGTGGTAATGGTGGTAGGAACAGAGACCAGACTCCTTGCAGATACCCAGACTCCTCCCTGCTCCCCAGTCATTCAAGGTCCCACGTGGAACTGGGGACGTGGGTGATGGGAAGTGTGCACTGGTGAAGGAACGGTGTTGGAACATTATATGACCGAAACCCTATCATGAACAACCTTGTACTGTGTATCTCCCGGTGATTCAATTACAAATAAAAAATTTCCATGTGGACTTGTAGACCAAGATGGCAGCATAAGGCTACTCACTGATCCTCTCTCCAGTCTTCACCCGGATCCCTTGCACTAGCAGAAGAGAGAGAATTATTGCACTTGAGTACTGGGAAACAGGAAAGAGTATCATAAGTGAGCCAGGAAAGTGAGCCATGTCCAGAAGAGAAAAAAGCAAAGTGGGTCAAGGTGATGGAAAATACTTGTGACCCCAAATAGGTAGAGTAGAGGCTACTGCAGATGCAGAGAGCTGTCCTCTGGAAAGACTCCAAGTTCAATGGCACGGACTATGGGAAACTGGAAGGGACAATCATAAACCTCATTAATTAAAGGGCTGCCTGGGAAACAGCAGCCACACCAGTGGCCTGCAGATAAAGATCAGGGACAAACACTCTCCAAACAAAGTGGGAAGCTTGTGTACTCTGATAAAGGATGAGGAAAAGAAGCAAATAAATAGAAATGAGAGTTAATGAAAGGACCATTCAGCAACACTGTCTGGGTGCCGCTGAAACAGTGCTCAGAAGGGGGAAAATAAAAGGAGAGCAACATAGAAGGAAAACAGCGCCCCTTCCATTCAGGTACAGCCCGCCCCCAAGGTCTGGGACTTTCTCTGGGCATGCGCAGCTAGCTCGATCTCATAGGACAGCCTGTTTTTTCCCCTGATCTGCGCGGGACAGGAACCGAGCCCACCTCCCAGCAACAAAGCTGAAGGTCTCTGCGAACTGAACTCTCTCCCCTTCCATTCAGGTACAGCCCGCCCCCAAGCCCTGGGACTTTCTCTGGGCATGCGCAGCTAGCTTGATCTAGCCGGTTTTTTCCCCTGATCTGCGGGGGACCAGCGCAGGGACCCTTTCCAGAGCTGCAGCTGCTAATGCGGCCGTGAAATATTCTCTCACTACATATGCCCTAGGAACCATAAGCTACCTTCTTAGATGGAATCTTCTCTATTTTAGCTCAGCCACTAGAAACTCAGTAGCCAATAACTGATAAGCCTATCTCAACTCACACTGCATATCAAGCAGAATAGTAACAGTGAACATGAAGGATTAAACCACACGTCTCACAATGGTAAAGCAACACAAAAGCCCACCAAACTTTCTTATTGAAGAGGCTAGCCCAGAAGACATCAACAGTACTGTAGTGTTAGACAACCTCTCTGACAAGGAATTCAGAAGGGAGCTACTTAGGATGCTTAGGGAACTAAAAGAAACAATGGAAAGCAATGCCAATAAAAGAAAAGAGGATTTGTAGAAATGAGGAAAATGCAATCGGAAATGTCAGACCTGAAAAACCTGGTAGGCGAATTGAAAAACTCAGTGGAAGGCCTCAGAAGCAGAGTAACAGCCGCTGAGAACATAATCAGTGAGCTCAAAGATGAAGTTCAGAGACTCTCCAGGAACGAACAGAAAATGGAAAAGAGACTCACTATTCGGGAACAGATGGCAAGAGAAGATCGTGATGAAGCCAAGAGGGCTAATGTAAGAATTATTGGAGTCCTAGAGGGACAGGAAGAAAACCTTGATGAAGAAGAAACTGTCAAAGACATCATTGCTACAACGTTTCCAGAGCTGAAGAAAACTTGTGACCACATTCAGGAGGCCCGAAGGGTACCAGCTAGAAGAAATCCGAACAAAAATACCCCAAGACACATTCTGATCAAAATGACCAAAGCCTTAGACAGAGACAAAATTCTGAAAGCAGCAAGATCAAAGAAAGAAATCTCTTATAAAGGAGCATCCTTAAAATTCACAGCTGATTTTTCTGATGAAACCCTCATGGCCCGAAAACAGTGGTGGAACATAGTGAAAAAACTCAATGAAATAAATGCCTCCCCAAAACTACTTTACCCAGCGAGACTGTCATTCATAATAGAAGGAACAACACACAGTTTCACAAACTACAGCTCAGGAACTTCATAGACTCAAAACCATGGTTACAAGAACTAAATGGGCTACTTTAAGGCAAGAAAGGCCCCTCAAATAAACCAAATTTCAACAGAACAATGGGGCAAAATCCCATAACAATAATCTCTCTCAATGTCAATGGGCTAAACGCACCAATTAAAAGACATAGAGTAGCAGGATGGATTAGAAAATTGAACCCAACATTCTGCTGCCTGCAAGAAACACATCTCAATAGTCAAAGCAAACACAGACTCAGAGTCAAAGGCTGGAAAACAATCCTACAGGCAAACAGCTCCCATAAAAAAGCTGGGGTAGCCATCCTAATATCAGACCACATCGATTTCAGAGTGAGGAAGGTCATAAGAGACAGTGAAGGCCATTTCTTATTGATCAAAGGATCTGTACAACAGGAAGAACTTACAATAATAAATGTATATGCACCTAATGAGAGACCAGCAAAGTACTTAAAACAACTACTCATAGATTTGGAAAAAGACATCAATAGCAACACAATACTAGTGGGAGACTTCAACACCGCTTTGTCACCTCTTGATAGATCAACCAGACTCAAGCTTAGCAAGGACATACTTCATCTGAGGGAAACAATGGAAGAAAGGGACTTGGTAGATATATACAGGACACTTCATCCACAAAAAGCTGAATACACATTCTTCTCAAGCGTACATGGAACATTCTCCAAGATAGACCACGTGCTGAGCCACAAAACATGCCTCCATAAAATTAAGAAGATAGAGATTGTGTCAACAATCTTCTCAGACCATAATGCGCTGAAATTAGAAGTAAATCACACACACAAACAGAAAACTAAATCAAACACCTGGAAATTAAACAGTGCGCTATTGAACAACGGTGGCTTAGAAAGGAAATCAAAGAGGAAATCAAAAGATTCCTAGAAACGAATGAAAATGAGAACACGAGTTACCAAAACTTATGGGACACAGCAAAAGCTGTGTTAAGACGAAAGTTTATAGCTCTACAAGCATTCCTCAGGAAGGAGGAGCGAGCACACATAAGTAACCTAACCTCACAGCTTAAGAACTTGGAAAAGGACCAAAAAAAGGATAACAACCCGAACAGGAGAAAGGAAATAATAAAACTCAGAGCAGAGATTAACGAGATGGAAACCCAAAAAACAATCCAAAAGATCAATGAAACCAAGAGCTGGTTCTTCGAGATAATTAACAAGATCGATAAGCCTCTAGCAAAACTCACAAAGAAAGGGAGAGAGAAAACCCTAATAAACCAAATCAAAAATGAAAAGGGGGTCATTACAACAGAAACTACAGAAATTCAAAGGATCCTCAGGGAGTACTTTGAGAAGCTTTATGCCACGGAACATCAAAACTTCGAGGAAATGGATAAATTCCTAGACTCCTACAGACTTCCAAGGCTGAACCAAGAAGACCTGGAATACCTGAACAGACCTATCACCATCAAGGAAATTGAAATGGTAATAAAAAGTTTCCCCAAGCACTAAAGTCCTGGCCTGGATGGATTCACTAGTGAATTCTTCCAAATCTTTAAAGAGGATTTACTCCCAATCCTCTTTAAACTTTTCCATGAAATTGAAATTTCAAAAACACTTCCGAACAGTTTCTACAAAGCAAATATCACACTGATACCAAAAGCAGACAGAGATACCACAAAGAAAGAGAATTACAGACTGATATCCCTGATGAACACAGATGCAAAGATCCTCAACAAACTATTAGCAAATAGAATCCAACTACTCATCAAGAAGATCATACACCATGACCAAGTAGGATTAATCCCAGGGATGCAAGGATGGTTTAACATTCGGAAATCAATCAACATAATCCATCATATCAAGAAAAGAAAAGATAAAAAGCATATGATTATATCAATAGATGCAGAGAAAGCATTTGACAAGATCCAGCACCCCTTTATGATGAAAACCCTAGCCAAAATGGGTATAGAGGGGACTTTCCTCAACATAATTAAAGCCATCTACCACAAGCCTACAGCAAGCATCATCCTCAATGGGGAAAAACTGAGAGCCTTCCCTCTAAGATCAGGGACGAGACAAGGATGCCCACTATCTCCACTGCTGTTCAATATAGTACTGGAAATACTTGCAATAGCGATTAGGCAAGAAAAAGATATTAAGGGCATTCAGGTAGGAAAGGAAGAAATCAAGCTCTCACTATTTGCAGATGATATGATACTATACTTAGAGAACCCAATAACCTCCACCAAAAAACTCCTAGAAACAATAGACTTGTATAGTAAAGTTGCAGGCTATTAAAATCAATACCCAAAAGTCCATGGCTTTCCTATACGCAAACAGTGAGAGAGAAGAAAGCGACATGAAAAAAACAATCCCGTTCACAATTGTGCCCCAGAAAATCAAGTACCTAGGAATCAGCTTAACTAAGGAAGTAAAGGACCTGTACAAAGAAAACTACAAAATGCTACTTCAGGAAATAAAAGAGGACATGAGGAAATGGAAAAATATCCCCTGCTCATGGGTCGGGAGACTTAACATTGTCAAAATGGCAATACTACCGAAAGCATTGTATAAATTCAATGCAATCCCTATAAGGATACCCATGACATTCTTCAAAGAAATGGAGCAAACACTCTTGAAATTTATATGGAACAATAAGCCCCCACGAATAGCTAAAGCAATTCTTGGGAAAAAGAAAATGGGAGGAATCAACCTCCCGAACTTCAAACTGTACTACAAAGCAGTAATAATTAAAACAGCATGGTACTGGAACAAAGGCAGAACTGCAGACCAATGGAACAGGGTTGAATACACTGACATCTCTCCTCAATCATATGCTCATCTAATCTTTGATAAAG